TCTAAAAACAGATCAGTTAATTCAGAGGCTTTAATCTTTTTATAAGTAGAGATATATCTGATTATCTTTATAAAGCAGTCAATAATAATTAAAATTAAGTTATATTCTTTAACTCTTATCAACTTCAGCAGATCAACTATGAAATTCATCAATAGATTCTATTATAAGCTTTTTGAAATAGACAGTGATATTAACTTACTGTATTACTTATACTATAGAATCTTTATTCTTTGACAGATATTATAAGTTTTAATATACTCTTTGACATCTGCTCAGAGCTTGTTTCAAATATATTTATATTTTAGAAGTTTTTCAGTCTTCTCTAATCTGAAGTGTCTTATATAAGAATTATTATAATGAATTCTCAATAACTTCTGATACACTGCTCTGCTATAAGAGACAAAGACTGAATTATTCAGCAGTAGAAGTTCACATTCTTCTAGTTATCAGTGACTTAGTTTCTTAGCAGCACTGTCTCACTCAGAATCTGTCTCTTCTAAGTTTAAATCAGATTCTTTCTTCTTCAACTTTTGAATTTGAGCTGTAGTAGAGATATCTCTCTTCTATAATTTATTAATGAATTTCAAAAGTAGTTGAATTAAAAGATTATAGACTGTTTATTATTATTATTATTATTATTATTCTTCAATTATAGATGTATGCAGTCAGAGACTATGACATCTACCTGAGAACTTTAGTTCTCAGGGTTTTTTCTATGTCTGTAAAGTTAACTATTATACATTCATCAATTTCAGATATGCAAAATCAGAAAATTCCAGCCCAGAATACAAAAACTGTTTACAAATTGCAGTGTTTTAACATCTTTTGATACTTTGAAATCATTTGACAATATCATGACAAAAGAAAAGAGAAAAAGAACACAGTCTCAAAGATAGACACATTAAATAAATAGATAGAAAGAAATTGAAAGAAAAAGATAAAGAAAAAGATAAAGTAAAGAGAGACTATAACAAAACAAATTATTAAAAGAGAGTGTATAGCTGTTTTAACAGACTATATCTGATTTATTTCCTCCTCTTCATACTCAGATAATTCTGAATTTAGCCATTTTCTTGTAGCTGCTTGAGTTTCTGATAGAAAGTCTATTAAGTATTTAATTCCTGTCTCAGTTGAGAATAAGAATCTCATATTTAATTGATTTAGATCATACTTCTCTTTCAATCTGGCTCTGAGACTATTGTATAATGCACAGTGCATTACAATATGCTCAGGATTCTCATTTGTATTGCAGAATGAGCATTCTATTGAGTCAAATCTATCATCAAATCTTTGTATATAAGATTTGAAATAGCCATGTCCTAGTTTCAGCTGTATTATAGATGAGAATATTTTCTTTTTACATTTAATTGAACAAGATTTCCACTTGGGTTTTGTTTCAAATCTTGAATAATGTATACTCTTCTTTTGTTTCTGCCAGCTTTCATTCCACTTGTCTAAACAAGATTCTTTTATTTTTCTCTTTATAAAAGACCAGGACACAATTTTTTGAATAGATCTGCTTAATTCTGCACCCTTTTTTGCAGCTGAATCAGCCAGTTCATTACCATGAATATTCATGTGAGCAGGAACCCAGTGTAGATGAATTATCAGCTTTGATGTTCTTCTCTTTTGAATTTTCAAAACAGAGTTTAAGATCAGTTCAAGATTCATTTGATCATTATGAATCTGACTATTTCTAAGTCTTTTTAAAGCAGCTTGACTATCAGAGAATATTCATGCCTCTTTCAAACAATTTCCTCTTTTATGAGATTTTATTTCAATGAGTTTGAAAGCTTTCACTATTGCAAATAGTTCAGCATCAAAGACTTCACATTCAGAGCCTAGATTCCAGAAATCTGAGATAAAATTAATATTATCTTCAGTATAAGCAATGCCTGTGCCTAATCTATTCAAGTTCTCATTTTTTGAGCCATCTGAATAAACCAGAATAGAGTCTTTTATATTGATTGTAGAAATTCTCTTCAAATGCTGTTCATATTCTTTCTCTTTTGATAGTTCACTTATTTGTAAGTCTATAAGAGATTCAAGCTTTTCTCTCCAGGGAGATAACTTCTCATGATCAACTTTTTCAACATTTAAAGAAGAAAATTGATTTTTAATCAGAGAGCATAGTCTGTACAGTTGAGAAGGCATTTTCTTTGAAGAATTATTTTCATTCCAATCAAGAAATCTATTCCAATCCAGTTCATTTCCAGAGTTAATTGGTGGAAATGAAGAAGAGACTCTTTCTCTGATTATATGATTTGAGCTTATCTTTACAACTCTCAGAGCATAGTTCATACAGGCCTTTTCAAATCTAATAGCAGAAGGAGGAATTGAAGCTTCAATTTCCATTGCTTTAATAGGAGATGATTTGAATGCTCTCAGAATTCTTCTCAAGGCTCTGTTTTGCAGACTTTGAAAGAGTTCAGTGAAATTCTCTTGATTATTCCACCAAACTTGAACTCCATAATCAGCTACTGATGTGATACAGGCTATATATAACTGTCTCATAGCCTGAAAGGATAGACCTCTCTCTGTATTTGATAGTCTGATTATGTTGTTCAATAGTCTTTCTGCCTTGACAGTTCTTTGTTAAATGTGATATTTAAAATTCAACTTGGAGTTTAACCATACTCCTAACCATTTGACATTTACACTGAGTTTAATCTCTCTATTTAAAAGAGTTAGAGATAGTTCTTTCTCATTGAGTCTAGAAAAGAAATGAATTAACTCAGTTTTATCTATATCAAATTGAATTTGATTGATATCTGCTCTAACAAAGATTTCCTTTGCAGCTTCTTCAATTACTTTCAAATTCTCTTTGATAGTTTTTGAGCTGTAGACTAGACCAATATCATCCACATAACTCAGAGATTGCACTATTCTCATATTTCTATTTTTGAATAGATATGCAGTGTATATTGCAAATAAAATGGGTGAGATTGGAGATCCCTGTGGTACTCCTATTTTTATCTCAGTCTTGTCTTGTTTCATTCCATCAAAGAAGAGTTGTATAATTCTTTTAGATATAAAACAGTTAACCCATTTTATTAGAGAAAGTGGCAGTTTTAATATCTTCAATGTCTGAATTAACTTTGACTTTGAAACATGATCAAATGCTCCCTTTATATCAATAAAAACTGCAGTTGAGACCAGACCCTCATGCTTTGCTATTTGAATATCATGAACAACTGAGAGAACAGTGTCAATTGCAGAACACTGTTTTCTATCTCCCATTTGTTCACTGAATAAAAGAGAATCATCTATAGAGCTTATAAAAGATAGTCAAGTAGCTATTATCTTTTCTAAAACCTTTCCTAAACAGTTCAATAGAGATATTACTCTATATGACTTAGGAATTGAAGTTTTTCTATTAGGTTTTGCAAGAATCACTCCAGTGGCTTCTCTCCAGCATTCAGGATGATATTCATTTTTCAAGAGATTGAAAAAGAGCTCAAAATATTCATTCTTTAAGTAGGAATATGTATTTTGAATAATCAAGTGATTAATTGAATCAGGACCTGCAGCAGTTTTAACAGAACTTGAGAAGATAGCTGACTTTAATTCATCTTGTGTAAGATCAGGCCATTCCCAGTCATTTTCATCAATGTAGTTGAGAAGTGATATATTCTCTTCCTCTGAATCTGAATCTGAGTCTGATGAGTTCTGAAAGAGAATTCTCATGAAAGCTTGACATTTTTCCTCAAAAGAGTTTGCTGTATATGATTCATTCTGAAACTCATATTCTAAGGCTGGAAGTTTTGCTACACTTCTTGTTTTAGTATAGTTAAAAGCTTTAAAAATTTCCTTCCCTTGTGCTTCTTCAAGAAATTTATTCCAGCAGTCTGTTTTAGCTCTTTTGATATCTGAAAAATATTCATTTCTGACAGCTTTGAACTCTTCATCAGATATTACATCATTTTTCCAATCTCTTCTAGCAGTAGCTAATTCTTTCCTTTTAGATGAGATATTCTCATTCCACCAAGGTTTTGAATACTCAGAAGATTTTCTTTTTGAAATATTATCTCTAACACTTGTTAGAATAATAGATGTAATAAGCTTCACTCTATTCTCAAGCATTTCATTTGAGATATCTTGACCAGAATTCCAATATAGCTCATTCTGTCTTTCAGATTTTAGCAGTTTTATACTTTCTTCAACTGCTTTCCAATCAGCTTTTTCAAAGTTATACTGATTAGAGAGAAGAGGATTTTCACTCATTTGTTTTTCACTCAGTTCAATATCAAATTGAATAATCTCATGACCTGATCCTGATGTCTCATTTGAATCAATAAACCAGTTTACAAGTCTTCTTTCCATTAGATTTTGTGACATGAAGGTTAGATCTATAATAGACTTCTGTTTCATGCCTTTTCTAAAGAATGTTTGTTGATCAGACTTATTAACCAAATCTATTGAATGCTCAAAGGTTCATTCAATCAGATTATCAGCTCTCACTGCTCTCTTGCATTCTGAATTCCACCAGGGATGATGTGCATTGAAATCTCCTGCAATTATAGAGTTTCTTGATGAAGTTATGTTCAGAAATCCTCTATCAATTGTCCAGATATTGTTATTTTCCTTCAATGACTTTTCATTATAGATATTTATGAGCTGTATAGTATCAAACTCATTTTCTTTATCTATAATATCACCCACCAGAATATCAGGGTCAGACATGATATCAAATCTTAGATTAAATTGATATCTTGATCTCTTTCTTCCATAGATCACTACTCTTGACTTTATCTCAGACTTTTGAGGTAAAAAGCAGTAGTAGCTTGAATGAGAAATAACATATTTTTGCTCAGCATCAAAATTCGGCTCCTGAAGCAGTATAAAATCAACTTTTTATTCAAATGCAATTTGAAGACAAGAATAAATACAATTTGAGTTTCTATTCACATTATTTTGAATAAATGTGATTTTTGAAGAGTTTTTAAACTTTTTTTGTTGTTTTTGTTGTATATTCATACTAAAAGAGAGTAGAGTAGAATCTAATCACTATCATCAGATAGTAGATTATAACTGTTCTGAAAAGTAGAAATCTCAACTGCTTGCATTATATCTAGTTTATCACCAGAGTCATTTCTCAATTCTCTAATCTTAACAGGAGTTTGAGGATTCAAGTTCTGTTTACATTTAGCTGGAGAGTTGAAGTTTGAAGACTTAGATAGTTGAGAGTTTCTTCTTTTTGAGCTTGCAGTTGTGAGTTTACTGGCTTGACTCTTCTCTTCAGTTCTAGATTGACTTTGAGCTTCATCTTTTCTCCAGTTCTTTTGAGTTCTAGGAGCAAACATACATTCTTTTGAGCTAGATGCATGTTTTTCTTTGCAATTAGAGCACTTAAGCAGAGTGTGTTGACAAATTTCACCTCTTTTTGAGCATGTTTCACATTTATGCTCACTAGTTTTGTGATCTCTGGCACAGAATGCACATTTTGAGTCTCTAAAACATGAGATTGCAAAGTGTCCATATCTTTGACAGTTTGAACACTGTGTTTGAGCTTTGAGGTTCATCCTTGAGTCTTTGTATTCATGAACTCTCATTTTCAAACCTGCTACTCTTACTTCAGAGATCTTTGACTGTTCAAGTGTTTTTGTATATACTAGAACAGAGGCATTTCTCCTGCTTTGTCTGAACTCAATTGAATTTAGTCATACAGGCTCCTTTCTCAGTTGAATAGAGTTGTATTCTTCCAATTCATTTTTGAGAAGTAGCATTCCTTCTTCACAGTCAAAAATTTCAACTGGAATATCATGAAGAATGAATTTGCCCCACTTTTCATCTCTTTCAGATAGAATTGTTGTGTTTAACAAAGATTCTACTGCTGACTTCCAGAGATTCTCATTCTGAATAAGGAATTCAGCACTGAATTCAGGCATTGTAGTCAGAATGATGGAGTTTCCAAAGAATGATGGTTCAATTGAAGCTATAACTGGTTTTTGAACTTCAATATCAGTCATTAACTGAGAAAAGAACTGCTGGTTAATTTCATTTCTGATTCTGAAAATGAGATTTGAGTTTAGCTTGTTTCTTTGCAGAATGTCCTGGTTTGAGACTTTGAGAATAAGTCTTCTATTTCTGGAGATTTGGAAGTTTTTCTCTTTTTGCATTTTCTTTTCCACTTTTCTATGAATAGAGGCATGAGCAGTATTCTTCTCAGTTTTCTCAGAATTTTGAGCAGGTTTTGAGACAGTAGGTTTAGAGACAGCAGGTTTAGAGACAGCAGATTCAGCTGCTTGAGCATATGTTTTCTTCTGATTCAAAGAAGGAGAAGAAGAAGAAGTAGAAAAGAAAGAAGAGCAAACTGAAGAGTCAGTGATTGTATTAGAAATTTTCAAAGTTTTTTGAACTGTGTTTGAAATTCCAAGTTTGAACTTGATCACTTCCTGTAGTTGTCTAGTCTGAGCATGAAGAATTAACAGAACTTCTTCATTCATCTCACTCAGACACTGCTTTTCAAGAATTTTACTTGCTTTTTCAAGTTCCTGTATTTCAAGAACTTGTTGTTTCTCTATCTCTTCTTTCTTTCTTCTCTTCAGAATTTCAATCTCAGGAATAGCATTTGAGAAAGCATCTTTTTCCACATCAACTGAGTGTACTTTTGAACTCATTGTTCTTACTCAATGAAAAGTTGGTCAGACTAATTCAATTGAGATATTTATTAAACTCTTTTGAATTGAAAAGTTGGTCAGACTGTTTCAATTAAGAGGTTTCTAAGTCTGTTTTCAATTGAAAAGTTGGTCAGACTATTTCAAAAGAAGAATAAAAGACTTTTGTGTATAAAACACCTGATTTTTTTCACACTAGTTCAGTAACTAGGTTAGATTTTTGAAGAGAATCTAATAAACTAAAATTGATTTTTAAGATAAATCAATAAAATCTTTACAATCTCTTTCTTGGGATACAGTGAGGAAAAGTATGATATCAATTGATAGTAAACCAGATGATATGACAGTTTTTGAGAGAAAAACTGACAAAAAATAAATCAATTTTTTGAAGAGAAATTGATTAAAACTATTCAATTTTATTCTAAATTATTCAATTCTCCTCGCACAACAGGTGTGCAACTCAAATCAGTTAATAAAGAGTGTAAAAAAGAATTAAGTATTAATGAAAGCTCTTCAGCCACTGAAAAAGTAATTCTTACTTAAAAGAATATGAAATTATGACAGAAAACAACTCTGTTTTTAATTCTTTGTAAGAATATTGTGTAAAACCCAGAGAAAAACACCTTACTTTTTTAAGAGAAGTAAAAAACTATTTCTAAAATCTTTTTTTTGCATTAACTGCTGCAGAAGAATGAGATAGAAACTGCTAAGATATGCACTACTGTATACTCCCTACCAAGACTTTCCCTCTTCAGGGTCTTGATATTATAGAGAATATAAGTCTGTTTCTATATGATAATATAAATATTGCCAGCGGGATGTAGAGGAACTGGTTATTTATATCTCAAAATAGAAGACTTTGTCAATGATTATATCAATATAGAGTTAATTCTCAAATTCAATAGAAACCTAGTGTTGCTGTTCTCAATCCCTTGCAGAATCTATTGAATATTGAGGTATTAAAACTAGATTTAATATATCTCACTGTGCAGGGATCAAAGGCTCAGTCAGACCTTGGGGTATACTGATTTTATAGTTGTTGTGTCTGCCGATTATGTATTGAGTACAGTTGCTGAGGTATCTTTTTGTACTTTTCTGTCGGGGATGGGCCAGATTGAGAGGGGTGGTACGAGGGCGAGACTTGGCGTTGATGTTCAGATACACTGAAGACAGACCGCGGAGGTTGCACTTCAGAAGTGGCCGTTGGTTATGTGCTTGATATTATCGCCGAGGTATCTTTTTGTATTTTTCTGCCGGGGATGGGCCAGATTAGGAAGGGCGGTACAACGGTGGGACTTGGCGTTGGTGTTTTGGAACATCAAAGATGGACAGGGTTTTCGCGGAGGTCGCTCCTCAGATATCTCCACAACTACAGATCGGGGATCTTCCAAAATCGAGAAGATTGGTGCATATGGCTAGGTCTCTTCACCTTACAATTTGTATGGCACTTTGGCCCGGGGTTGTGGTGTGGTAGGGGAGAACGGGGGATACTCCCACACAGGAGTTTTGAACAACGTCCGGTTCACGTTTGGCTGGATAACTCCACCACCACACAGGGTATGCGGTCGGCGATGGGGTCAGAATGCTCGTATGATCGAGGGCTTTTCGATGGATCTATCGGCGGGTTCTTATTCGAAAAATCGAGCGAGTTCGTGGTGATTATAGACTGTTTCATTCTTTGTCAATTCAATGATTGTAAAATATAATATAAGAAACTCATGATCTTCAGTATCAGTTCTCTGCAGAGACTCAGATTCTCTTTCATCTTCTATACTGAGTCACACAGCTGTCTCTTCAGTGCTGTTTCTGAGCTTTAGAGAACTCTAACTCTCTGCAGCCAGCTTCTTCTGCAGTGATGATAGAGATTCTTTTGTAGAATTCTTCTCTGTATTAACAATATTATAATCAGACTATCTAGATAGTATATCAGCAGAGTTAAGCTGATCTGAACAGTATCAGATATAGAAATCATACTCTGAAAGCAGCTCTGCTCACCTGGCTTGACATTCTGTCAAGCTCTTTATTGTCAAGAAGTAACACAGATTTGCATGATCAGTGAGAACTTACACTGAGTATTTACTACTCTGAAGATAATTTGCGGAGCGAAGCGAAGCAAATATATGATGAAAACCCTGATCATTAAAAGTGAAGAATTTCCTTTTTGAGGTTCTTGGCGCGAATACAGCTCACTGATTGATGTAGAATTAAGTGAAGCGTAATTCTGTGACATTGCACTATTATATCATCTACTCTGTACAGATTCTTGAATAATAGATCATGCATCTCATCAACTATCTACTCTATACAGATTCTTGAATAGATAATGCATCTGATCAACCATCTCTCATAGATTCTCAAGAATGAATAATGTGTCAAAAGTCTGTGTTCACTGCTTGCAAAATCAGTCTCTTGATTAATTCATTCCTTTACAGTGTTCTACTACTTCTACAGCTGTCTGTCTTCAATATCACACTCAGAGAACTTAGATATTGTAATCTTCTCTCATTACATCTTTTCTATCACTGATTATCTCTTTACACTGTGTAGAACTGTAAATGAATATATATAGTGAAATCAGATTCTTCTACAGTGTCATGCCTCTGGCCGCGTCAAGGCCTCACTGCGGTTTCACACAGCTTATCACTTTTATACAGATGATTTCATTCATTCCACAGGTCATTCAAACCAGTTTCCAATCACTCTATGACATCATTCAGATATATTATAGAAAGATCTGATTGATGAATATGAGAACTCTGCTTCTATACAAGATCAGCAGATTACTCTTTCTTGATAATGAGATGTCACTGAGGTATCACTCCAGCTATTCTCACTCATGAAATGAGAGAAGAGTATCTGCTCATTGTTTATATAGAATAGCTAGATACTGACTTCTTATTAAAGAAGTCAGTAATTTATCTTTTCTTCTACTGAAATATATACAAGAGTTACTGCATATCTTATACAATCTTCTTAGTATACTAAGTATCATATCTGTGATATTCTTGTAATAACTCTGTAGTCTACAAGCTCACTATTTAAGCAAGATAGTCAAGCTCACTTATACAGCTTCTCAAACAACTATCTCTACATAACACTGCTGACTAGTCACTGCTTCGGTTTCATTACATTATATACAGTTACAGATTCTATGATAAATGAGTCTGAACTCTCTCTATTATTCTAGATATATTAATACTTTATATAATCAATAGTAGTCTCTTAAGTCTGTGAACAGTCTATTGAAATAGATATATTATCAGAGATTAAGTTTTATCACTATGAGATTCATAGTTCTGATGTATCTTCATTGACAGCAGTCTGTAAAAAGAAAACTATTATTCAAAGAGCTTACTGTATTATCAGATGTTCTCTATAATATCTCTTATTAACTTTATTCTTAACTCAATTAAGAAAACAGCTGCAGTCATTATCTTTGATAATTAATTTATCTCTTAGTTCTGCAGATCTCTCTTCAGTCTTTTATCAATCATCTATATTATCATTTAACTCATTCTCAAGTCAACCTTATTTCACTTTACAGATATGCTTTTACTACAGTTACAGTTCTATCTCTTCTATTAATAAGCTGTAAAATCAATCTTGCAGAGTCTTCTGTTTTGAGCTTAGCTCTGCAATGTCTTTGTACACAGAGGCTCGTATGCATTAAGATATTTTATCACTAGATCTTAAAGAATTTGACAATTACTAACATCTTCTGATCATGAGTATCATACCTTCTCTGCATAAGTAATAACTTCTTGAAGAAGAAGATCACTGATCTTCATTCACAGTGTCTTATAGACTCTGTGAAAAAGCCTTCTCTTACAGATAATTCATTGCCTGTTTTCTCAGAAATGATTATTCTCTGATTCTTTCAATATTAAAAGGCCTTCAGTGTCAACTGTGAAAAGATTTCACAGATCTCATTCTCAGATATATCAGTCTCACACTAACTGAGTAAGTCAGAGTTAAAGTGATTCAGTATTGTGACATCTGTAAAAGCTTGTTTCAATTCTGTAAACATCTGTGCAGTGTCTTGAATGAGAGTAAACAGTTCTATTTTCCTGTCTTTCACACTTCTCTTTAACAGATCTGTAAGAGGGACAGTAATCTGTGAATATGTATAGATAAATTGTCTGTAGAAATTCACAAATTCTAGAAACATCTGTATCTTGTGATATGTCTGTGATATTGATCAGTTCTCAATGACGAAGACCTGACTTCTATTCATTGAAATGCCATTCATCTCAATAATATAATCTAAGAAATCAATCTTCTGTATGTAGAATGAGCATTTTTCAGTGTTTGTATAGAGTTGATACTGTCTCAAGCAACTCAACACTTCTTGAACATGAATATCATGTTCTTTCTCTGTTTTTGAGAAGATTAGAATGTTGTTCAGATATACTATGCAGAAGATGTTAACAAGATCTCACAGTGTCTCATTTATATAGATCTGAAAGATGGCTGAAGTGTTACAAAGATTAAAAGATAAAACAAAATATTCAAAATTGCTGTACTTGGTATAAAAAGCTGTTTTTCAAACATTGTCTTCATTAACTCTGATTCTATGATAGACATTCTGTATATCAATCTTTGAGAACATCTTTACTTCAGATAATCAATTAATCATCTTATCAATCAATGATAATGAATAGTGATTCTTAACTGTTATCTTGTTAAGACCTCTGTAGTCTACACATAGACATAGTCTATCATTCTTCTTGAGTATAAAGAGTATAGATGCTTCTGCTAAACTCTTTGATAAATGTATTCAGTTCTTTGATTGTGCTTCTTCAAGATATTTGTGCAGAACATTCAATTTCTTTACAGATAAGTTGTAAAGAGGCCTGTATAACATCATTACACTGTCTTCAAGACAAATCTTATATCATATCTTGATATCAGAAAACTTCACTGCTTCTCTTTCTGAAAAGACATTCTTAAAATCTGTAAAGAGATGTTGTATATATCTGTCTTCAATGATGAATACTGCTGTTAATCTTATAGTAAGAATGATGACTTCTTCATCTGTTTTCAAGTCTCAATTATCTACTATACAGTATATTAACTCAATCTTTTTCTCAAGATTCTTTCAATGAAACTCTTCAGATTTCTCTATCACTGTCTCTTCATTAATGAGATAGTACTGTCATATCTGAGTGACTCAGTCAATGAGAGAATTGTTTTCTCTCAATCATAGAAGATATAGAATAACATTCTTATCTATGATATT